ATAGAAAACAAATTTTATCTTACACAGAAAGAAGAAGAAGAAGAAGAAGAAGAAAAAAAAAAAGACAGAAAGAAAAAGACACTTAGTTGGCCCTCCATACACAATATGAAACATCTGTTATGCAGAATCTTATACTTATTTATCCTTAATAATTGACTCATAAGAGTACCGTTAACCCTTTCCCGACGAGGAAAATGAATAAAAAATGGGGGAAATTCTGTGCTCATTTTTTATATTTTTTTGAAATGTCCCTGTACTAGATGGCTTTGCTAGTGCTTAGCCATAAAGGATTTCATATTTTCTTGATTTGGCACAAAAAACGTATCTTTACTAGTGCTATATATATAGATGGTGTTAATTTAACTATAACCATTATAATTACTCTAATGTTATAAACATTTGCAACAGCAAAATAAGATAACATTAAATATTTTCATAAATCGATGAAAAGGGTGAACGGGTGAGACAGGCGGTACTCGTAATTGGCTCAATGGTGATTTAGTACAAGTGTAGCCATCTATGTGTAAAAATAATTAAACAAGTAAACTCACAATGGGCATGGCATGTACGCACATGCCATGCCCGTCGGCAAAGGGTTAAAGTGCTACAACCAGCAGCATAGCTGGGGGTGAGGGGATCACTAGTTCCTAGGCTCTCCAAATGATGATTGACATTAATAAAATAAATAAATAAATAAATAATATATACAATGCATACCTATATACCTATATACCACTCTCTCCCTCTCCCTCCCTGCCTCCCCCCCCTCTCTCTCTCTACATATATATATATATATATATATATATGTATATCTATATATATATATATATATATATATATATATATATATATATATATATATATATATATATATATACACACACATACATATATATATATATACATACATACATATATATATATATACATACATACATACATATAAATATATATATATGAACACACACACACACACACACACACACAGGTTTATTTTTTTATCAAAAATATCCAAATTATATATATATAATGTATATGAACACTGTCAACAGCTTGATATCTCTGAATCCCGCCCCTAGTGTCTGGCAACAGACACTGTTGCTAAGATGGTCTCAGCAACCAACTCTTCATTTAGATTGGTAGAACATCCTATTTTGTAAAATGGTTGGGAAGTTGAGGCTAGGATATGCTCCTCCAACAAGAAAAGCAATTGCAGACAAATTCCTACTCATGGTATATATGAAAAAGAATAAGTAAATTGTGCCAGAGCTGAAGGATGAAACTGTATGTCTGTCTTTAGATGGATGGTCTAACATTCACAAACGAGCCAATCAAATGTGTTACTGTGACAACCTCAAATGGCCACATATATCTAGTGGATACAATAGACATAAGTGGCCAACCTCAATTGAATATCTAGAAAAGCTCTCAAAATCAGCAATTCAGAAGTGAAAAGAACTTGGTTGCAATGTTTGTAGCATTGTGACAGATAATGCTGGTAGTGTAAATAAAATGAGGAAACTGTTAGAACAGGGAAATGAACTGAAGCTGGTGACCTATGGCTATACTGCACACATTCTGAATCTTCTGGCTCATGATCTGGAAATTGGCAATATTAACCCAACTGGCACAGATGGCAAGAATACAAGCCATGCCCACTGTAATATATGTTTATTTATTGTATTTACACATAGATAGCTCTTCAAGTGCTTAATCACCAAGGAGTCAGTTATTAGTCCTACCTATTTCACTTGTTTATCCTTTTCCTCCCCTATTGGAAAGGGTCTTTTGTACTATTTAATTGTCTTAACCCAATGCTGACGGGCATGGCATGAATGTGCATGCCATGCCCACTGTGAGTTTACTTTAATAATTGTTTTTACACAAAATGGCTACACTTGTACTAAGTCACCATTGAGCCAATTACAAGTACTGCTTGTCTCATCCATTTACCCTTTTACTTAATTTACTTATCTTATTTTACTGTTACTAACATTATAGTAATTATAATGTTTATAATAAAAATAACACCATCTATTCTGCCAGTTCAAGGAATAAATCAGGTTAGGTCACAAGGTCTACTAATTGACTCCTTTGTGGCAAAACACTAACAGAGCCACCTATGTACAGAGCCATTTCACAAAAATGTAAAAAATGAGCACAGCATTTTCCCCATTTTTTTATTCATTTTCCCCGGTGGCATGTGGTTAAATGTTACCAAGATTAAAAATAACAATTCAATCATAACATCAATAATAATGACAGTATAGATATCAATTGTATTAAAAAGAAACACATTTTCCTGCCAATTCAAAGACTGGCAAAATCAGGATCACTAGCACATGTGGAGCTATCTGTATGTAACAAAATTCACAAAAATCTACAGGAGACAGAACATTAATCCATGGTGGGTGGGTCAAAGAGGATGTGGTGTATATAATAAAATACTTTAGAAACAATCACTGCTGCTGCAAGATACCACCAGGATGGTGGGAACATCATGTTATGCCTCAAGACATAAAATGGATTACCATGTGAAATTGTCTGACGATATACATAAAGAACTGACCAGTTATCATGAAAATTTGTGAAGTTGATAGGGAGCAGGTTGATGTCAGAGTTAGAGAGGTGTCTAACTTAACTTCATACCAACAGGCTACACACTGAGGCGTCATAACAAACCGCTCAACCCGTGGAGTGCGGCTGTACGCTGCGGTGACACACCAAAGAGCTACAATGTAGCAAACTCCCACTCTCAAAGTCGGCTCGTTGCCAGTAATCTCCAGTGTTTTTTTTTTCTTCATCCATCAGTAAGGGGTTAATAATGATGTCAGCAGAGCACCTACTTGCACAACTAGAACCAATAACTGTGGCTTTGGACAAAGTACAGTGATAAATGTAAACTACTGAAACAGTGAACATATGGAAAGAATTAATCACAACTTCATGCAATGGCAGTAACTGCTGCAAAAAAGAGGTTTGGCCAAGACATAACACAAGCTCATCTTCTTGCAAACCTGATTCATCACTCCTTTCAAGTGCAGAAGTGCAGAAGTGAATAATGCAATGGAATATGCCCATGAAAAGTTTACCTCACTTGCCCCAATCATAATGAAATCTCAAGCTAAATCGGCTCCCTTTCAATGCAATTAAGTTTAGTGATTCTATGACCAAGTGTATGTCAACTGTTGAATGGTGGAGGTCACATTCAAATATGTTGGATAGTGATGTAATTTCAGCAGCACAACAACTACTGTCTGCAGTGGCATCTTCATCAGGGGTTGAAAGATTTTTTTCAAGCTATGGTATAGTACAGTCAAAACTAAGAAATTGGCTGATGATAAATAAAAGCAGCAAAACTAGTGTTTTGTTTAAAATCATGGATGCATACAAAATGGATTTTTGTGATGATATTAATGATCAGGATGCATAAAAGAACCAACTTTGTTGTCACAAGAATTAAAATAAAATCTTAATTTTTAAAAGGTATTAATTTTCAATTTCAACAAACGTAAATATTTATGAACTACTTTTCAAAAGATGGGGATAATAACTTTTTAAAGAATACTGTTTTTCACATATAAATTCAATGTGCCTTTGTTTTAAATACAGGCTATAATAATTTACATTTTTATTTTTAATTCATAACTTCAGGATATAAATACAGTTTGTTATAGGTAAACCTCTTTGATTTTTGTTTTTTAATAGTATGTGAAATTTTTTGTAGTGCTATACTGTAAAAGGAAGTGTTTTAGTATTCTACTTGACAGAAACAAGTACAATTCATTACAAGTAAAACCCTTTGATTTAATATTTAATGGATTATGGAAATTTTTTTTGTTGAACTGTAAAAGGAAGCTTATAGTGTTCAATTCAACGTAAGTATAAAAAGCAGGTGTAATCATGTGTTTTCATATTTTTCCTTTACCCCAATGCCAACAGGTATGACGTGTACGTACGTGCTATACCCACTGTGAGTACTTGTTTGATTGTTTTTACGCATAGATGGCAACACTTGTACTAACTCCCCAATGAGCCAGTTACGAGTACCGCCCGTCTCACCCGTTTACCCTTTTCTTTGATTTACGAAATATTTTACGTTATCTTATTTTGCTGTTACTAATGTTAAAAAACATAATAATTATAATGTTTATGATAAAAATAACACCATCGATTTTCATAGCACTAGTGAAAAATACGTTTTTCCCGCCATTTTAAATCAGGCGCTAGCAAAGCCATCTATCGGCAGACATTTCACGAAAAACATAGAAAGTGGGCACAGCATTTCCCCCTTTTTTTGTTCATTTTCCCCTGCGGCATTGGGTTAAATTCTATGTTGCCTTGAGCAGAAGCATATTTTGGTTTAAATCATCATGATTTACATTGGCCAACCCTGATACACACACACTCACACTCACAGTGTATATATATATATATATATATATATATATATATATATATATATATATATATATATATATATATATATATGCACACATATATAAATAATAATATAAACTTCATTTACATATACATATATATACATATAGACACACACACACATATATATATATACATATATATTCATATATACATACATATATACATTTACATATAAATATATAAATATAATATTATATAATATATATATATATATATAATATATATATATATATATATATATATGTATATAGATAGATAGATAGATATATATAGATATATATATATATGTATAAAATCATCCATATCAACCAATAACACAAATATACCAACACCCTAAACAACTGTATGATTGTGAAGTATGCATTTCTTATATCATCAGCAACGTTTCTTTTCGCAGTAATGAGTCAGTAATGAGTCATTTTAAGGTTCATTTATCATGTAAGCTAAACAGTGCAAGTGAATGACCAACTGTACAAGAAAAGAAAAAATTATAATGCAAAGAAACAATGAATACCGAATACATTTCTAAAAAAATCATGTTTATCTATCCAACCCACCTGTGAAATTATGGTCTTCTTGATAGCCATTCCTGCCATAGCTGCCTGTTCAGCTTGGTCAGTTGGCTGGTCAGCATCCTCAGGCCTGGACTTAAGGGATGCCAGCTTGATCTCATCACTGCTTAGTACTGTCAGCGTGTCCTGCAGCATCGGGAGGCTTGAAGGAGTCAGCTTGATCCGCCCATCCACAATGCCGCCTAACATGAAGTAGAAATAAAAGCGGAGTCTACAGACCTACGCTACACATCTTGGAAAGTAAAATGTTTGCTATACATCATATCATTGCTTGTATTTCTATCTTACCAAGCTAGGCATTTTTTAAATTATAAACTCTTGTTATTGTAAATCTCAAAAATTCTCTAGCCAAATATATTTTCTTCTTTTTACCTAGCACATCTTGACAAAGTCTTTGGGTAATTGTGAATCTCTGGTCATCAGGCATGTGATCCAGCATAAACCGATAGATCAGGTGGCGGTCCTCTCTGTGGTGCTCCTCTGCAAGAGAGAAGAGCTCCTTCTCTGAAGTACTCTGGGTAAACTTGTTGTAACTCTCATGCTCCTAGAAATGAAAAATAAAGAATGATATTTCCCTTTAATGTAATTTGTGATTATCTAAAAATACTTGCATTATCTGTGTATATTGTTAAGTGATTATGGAGTCATTTAAGCAGTTCAAAAGAGGTAATTGAATTAGCATATTTATATTGTAATTCTGAACATTCAATTCCCCTTTATATAATCACAATCAAATTTAAAAATGAACACAAATCAGTACTTCAAAAATTTACCCATGATGCCTTGCTTACCCCAATGGATCCTAGTGATATGACTGTCATGTCATGAAAATATGGGAATATGAGATATGGGAATATACTGTAATAGGAAAAATTTGGCTGATGGCTAGGGGGCAATTGGAATGATTTGCCATGACTGCACAAAGCTCTTGAAGGGTAGCGAGGCACCCAGATTCAACAGGTTGACCCCTTCGATCCGGATGATGTGACTACCACGTCATGCAAAAATATGACATGAAGGAAATGGGCAATGGGAAAATCTGGCTGTAGGCCAAGTGACTTGAACCTGCTGTTGCGAGTGTTTCAGCTGAAGGCAGGGGAAAGACTAAAAAAAAACTCATCATTTGGCGATTTTGCATTATTCCCATCACTATACAAGTGTGGAATGTAATGTCCACAAGCCATGACTGGAATAGCACCAGCTCCATACAGGATATCATTTCCATGGTCAGCATCATATTCCTGGCATCATGACCAATGATTTAGGTTGTATTACAGGAAATTGAATATGATAAAAAAAAAATTACGTAACACAAATAACAAACTGTTAAATATTGTTTTTTTTCTTGTACTGAGTTGCAGACTACCTAGAGAGTTGATATGGAGTCTGTGCAAAGAAAACTGTCTATTACCATCTGGATCAAATGGCAAAAAGGATGATAACACAATAATAAGGGGAAATATTGCAAATAGGGAGCATGGAGTCTTAGCATGTGCCCGGCCTACAAGCAGTGCACTTGGTAGTGAGATGGGTAGTCCTACCCATCTCACCTGTTTACCCATCTCCTTGAGTTTTGGAAAGTGTCTTTTGTATTATTTCCTTTTCTTTAATGTCATCAAGATTTTAATAACAATTTAATATTCATAATATCAATAAGAATAATAACAGTATCTATATCAACAGTATTAGAAAGAAAAACACATTTTCCAGCTAACTCTAGGATCAGTCACTAGAGCATACTGCTAGACTCCTTGCTGGCTGAGAACATGTCTGTAACAAAATTCACCTAAAACTACAGGGACATTACATAAACTCATGGTGACTGGGTTAATGGGAATACTACAATTGCATAAAATACAGTAAAACATTATTAATACTTTACCTCATAACAGTTGTAATGGAAAATACATTCAATAAAGTGCTGACAAAGGATCTTTGGAAATCGTTTCAGCAACCTCTCTGTAACGTAGAAAATGACTGTGCTCCGTATCTCCTCTTGGTCATCTGTAAGGCACTAAAGCAAAAAGAAAAAAATTAATGTAAACTACATCATAAATCTAAAATAACTCTGAAAACAATTTCATAAATCATTTAGTATGATTCTTTTTGTTTGTTTGTTTTTAACAAAATTGGCTTTGTGGCTAGTAAATGTAACACTTTGCTAATACTACAACCCCTCATTCCTTTACCTGTAAGATCCTATAAAAGAAGGAACCTTTGAGCTTTAGATAATCCTCTTGTAGTAGGTTGATCAATAGGGTCAGAGTTGTCCTCCTAACTTGTAAATCTGGGTCTCGGAGACAAGCAGTGACTTGTGGCATCAAGGGATCTACTAGTGTTGCATACCTAAAGAAAATATGTAAAAATGATAATTACAATAATAATAATAATTATAAAAATAATAATATTAATAATAATAATTATCCATATTCTTATATTATCATTATATATAAATGTAAAACAAGTCATCTAACATATAACAAAAATTGATACATTTAAAAAATCAAGGCAAAGTCCTGAATCAGGGCCATAGATTTCACATACATTACAAACTAATACATGTCAAACAAAAAATATTACCTGACACACATATCCGATAGTGTGAAGACAATATTGATCTTGAGAGATGAGCATGCACTGGAATCTAGCATCTTCCCAAGAGCTGGGATGATGCGTTTGGCTTGATCTTCATGTTGCAAGCACATTTTGCCCAGGGTCACCACAGCCAGAGCCTGAATAGGAAACATGAAATCTAGAGTTGCTTGCATAGCACAAGCTATAAGGAAAAATAAGTCAAATAAGATAAGAAGGGATCTCTTGTATTTCTGCAAACATATCTGCCCTTTCCTACTTCCTTTAAAGGCCCAATAACAATAACACTGTTTTGCATTCCCATAAGAAATCTATCACACATTCCAAGGTAGCAGACATAGTGCCCTTGTAAGCAGACATGCTGCCAAAGTGGGGTCCTAGGAATCACAAGAGCAATCTCATACATGTCAAATTATATTAAAGAAATATAGTTATGTATTCTGTATAAAGAAATATCCTAGAATATTAAGTTATGTTTACATGAACTTACTTCATTTAATATATAAATAAAAAAACATCTGATTTGTATAGATCCTCCATCAAACAAGATCAAAATGGGAATTAGTCAGACAGAAATAGTTGCTACTGTCTTTGTCTAGAAGGCATTCTACATGAGCGTGATACATATGGAAAGCCTCAAATTTATGCAGAAATGCAAAAATTGACAGAAAAAGTACTGTTGTGATAGGGCCTTAAAAATATACAAGGATCTGATACATTGCTATTGTTATTCAAGTTATGTTACAAAAAAGCAAATACAGAAAAACAACACATATCTTCTCACACCCATTTTTTTAAATATGAACTAAAAAACTAGTGTCAAGTTTGCAAGCAAGTAATCAATGTATATTGCAATGCAATCTTGCAAATGGCATTTGATGATGACATTGCACATAGATATGAGTTCATGAATGTCCAAACAGCACTGTTATACCAATATCAGAAATTTTTTAAATCACTGTGATTTACAAGTTTTGTGTACATTTACACATGAAATAAGCTTTCCATCAAGACTTTCTTGTAATATGCTTATAACCAAGTATGAAGCACTAGTATTAAAACATAAAAGTAAAAATAATGATAATATTTTGGTTTGACTTCACTGTAATGAACCAATCCACCATTGGCAAATTAGTTTTTATTTGAAAACGGCCATTTTCTATGTAAAGAGCAGTCCAGTATCTCAGATACATAGGTTAGATATCAATTATTTCATGAAGATGATAGTACATAATAATACCCAACTCAAAAAAAAAAAAAAAAAAAAAAAAAAAAAAAAAAAAAAAAAAAAAAAAAAAAAAAAAAAAAATATATATATATATATATATAAATATATATATATATAAATATATATATATAAATATATATATATATAAATATATATATATAAAATATATATATATATATATATATATATATATATATATATTAATCATTAAAGAAAATAATTTGATCTAGGGTAACTAATAATTTTTCCTTTACATAAAAATGGGTTTAGTCCTATTAACCCATTACTGACAGGTTACACGTATAGCCGTCAACAAGCCACAATCTGCCAGGTACAGCTATACGTGCTTGCTTGCTTGATTGCCTGTACATGACTTGATAGTGTTTCATCTAGTGTGAGTGATTACTTTGTTATGCCATGATAGATGTTGAATACATATTACATATCATTCAAAAGGATAACCAAAATGGAATTTTTCAAACCTACCCAAAATTGAAAACAAAACCACTTTCTCAAATCAAACCTGCACTCTAGTAGTAGGTACAAAAGTGATGGCTGTAGGCTGAGAACTCTGTGTCTGGGATGAGGGGATGATTGCTGACCCAGTTCTCTGTATTCCTGATTGGTGAAATATGATACTCTGCAGCATCAAGAACATCCTTTTGTTGACCTTATGAGGACAAAGCATTGAAGCCTCTCCCAGGGTAAACAAGTGTCTGTAAGATAATAAAGAAAAGAAAAAAGGATAATGGTGATCATAGTAAAACTAGTTGGTAAGATGGAGATAAAAAGATAAGTGATACAAAGAAAAAGAAGTAACTGATATGAAAAAAGAAAGGGAGAACATGCAATGAAAATCCAAAATCATAGTATTTATATCAATTAGTCTTCAGATAATTTCATCTTAACAAAATTAACCCACTGGATCCCTGTACATCACAACCTGCATATGGACAAAAATCCAGGCTTTAAGTTTACTCAAGGCACCACCCTCTGGGTGTGTGACTGGGCCAGCCCAGCCTGGGCTGGCCCAGAGGAATATTCATGTGTGAAATCAAGACTCAGTGCCTCACCTTTGCAATCATATTATTTCTTCTGCATAAACATTTTTTTTTTAATAATCTTATAGGTTTATAGTTGTCCATGCTACATCAAGATGATAATAAACCGTTTACTTTTGGCAGATTCTTCATCACCTCTCTAAGTTGTCTACAACTGTGTGGTAACAATTACAATAAGTGACATGTTTTATATAATATATAATATATATAATATAATATAATATAATATAATATAATATAATATAATATAATATAATATATATATATATATATATATATATATATATATATATATATATATATATATATATATATATATATATATATATATATACATATATCACATCCTGTGTTGCCAGTAACAGCCAGCCAGTAGGAATAGGATCCTGAGCATGGAAAGTGTCCTCCCTAGAGCCAGTGCTCTTCCTGTCACTATTTACAGATGACATATGATATATTAAAACCTTATTCCCCAATGGAAATAATGCAAGAGCTCCTTCCTAAATACACATTGAATCTAATCTTTCTCCAAGAACTTTGTACACTTATGACAAGTTATTTCAATTAGTCTAGCCATAAGACAAAATTCTCATAATGGTGTGGCGGACGCTACAATCACTGCACCAGCACAACCTCGCTCTGCCTAGTTGCCTCTGCACTGAGTCATCCACCACATCAACTCACTCGGCACTGCCGCAGCCTCGCTCAGCATAGTTGCCTCCACACCAAGTCAGCTGGCAGGCAAACAGGCAACAGCTGTGTGCCGAAGGTTGGCAGTGGGATGCTGCCTGTGAGGTCAGTGCTAATTCACCACGACACAGGAGAGTGGGATGCAGCCATTCAGCATACTTGGCCATGGACGACACACTTCCTATATTGTATAATTACCACATGCTCACCGAAAAATAGACAGCCTACTCTGCACCTGAGTTTGATTCTCCTGTCCACTCAAGACCTAGGCTCTTCATTACTCTGCCCTAGGCCTCTCTAACAATGGCATATTCACATCACCCAGCCCTCAGTAAAGATTTTTTCCTGATGTTATGGTCATGTTATTCAGATCCACTGGATTAATTCTGTTGATTTGAAATCATAGTAAAAATAAAGAGAGACAACCAAGTAAGCATTCATAATCCCTTTCTTACCTGAAAAGCAGCTCCTCTCCCTCTTTGTCTATGGGGTCTGTCTTTTCAAACAGGATGTGTTTCAAGTGGTCATCACACATCTTAAGAAGTGGAGCCACCCACTTCTCTATAGCTTTTTGTCCTGAAAGTTCATGTTCATTTTGCAGTGTCTATACATAATATATTTACTTTTATTGTGATGAAAGGACTGGATTGTCAGAAATGAAAATGTACAAGTAAATCAATTTAGTTGCAGCTTATTAAAAAAAAAAGGGGTTTATTGTGACATATGTGGGAAAGTTATAAATAAGAATGAAAATATTCACAATGCAGCCTCATAAATTTTGATTATTTGATTGAAATAGTTAAATTAGATATGCCTACGGCTATGTGACGTTATATCATTCTTCTTTAAGCCTTTCCTACATAAAAGTAATTCTTCACTCTAAATGATAACAAACTTCATACCAAATAACAAAGTTCAACCCAACTAACCCTCTGCCTCATCACCATGGAGTTTATAGCTAAGCAGAGTAACTGTATCCATCATGGAAGATATGAGCTCAACCCCAACCGAGAAATTGTTGACAGGCTCCAAAAGCTGCTTCTGTAAGGCCTCAGCACGGTCGTTTGGTACATGTTTGATGCTGTTGCTCAGTACTTTCAATACTTGTTGTAGGGTATAAGCACCCACCTGCAATTATATAAAAAACTGTTATTACATCATTTCAATAATGCTGATATATAAACATTGTTACAAATATCATACTAAAATAATTTCCTTTCCAAAAGTAGGTAAATGCAGAACTACAGATACATTGCTAGTGTCGTTCACCTGTGATTCTCCTTGGCAATGCTCTTCAAAATAGTCCACAGCAAAGGCAATATTTTTCACAGTAATATGGTTCGAAAGCAAAGCCAACAGTGTCCAGACTTCTTCGTTGTATTTATTCCCGATGTGAGAGCGAGCAATGGTGGCAATCTGAGGTCTGCAAGATGACAGGTATACTAGTTACAAACTATTTAATCATATCTTTCTACAGTCTGCAGCAAATAATTAACCTAATTCATTTCATAACCAGGCTTTTATATCAAAATCATGTCCAATTCACTTGAAAGTCCTACAATATAATGTCTAACCTAATAGTATTATAATGTAGGCACAGCAGTATTGCCAAGCTTAATGGCATTCTTGCATAAGCCAACAAACCTAAACTGCAAATATTCTGGCAAACCAGACCTTGGACCAGTTTCTTATTTAATGATAAATGGCCAGGAAGAATAGACATGGTGAAGGTTTGGCCAGTGGTTGATGCATAGGAGTATCAAGAAGATCGCCCCCATAACTAGATAGTTAAATTGAAAATCACTTGTATATCCGATCAATTATTAAAAATGTTCTGGTTACAAGCTTCACAGAGTAAATCACGTCAAACTTCCACTTTTTTTATATCTGTTTAAATGAAAAAACAATAAAATATAGAGAACCTAATTTATCACCCTTGTAATCATACAAAACCATACATCTTTGTAATCCATGAATACAATTAAGTGCACCCACCTTACATATTCTGTTTTGGACCACATCATGATTGCTTTATTGAAAAACTTGTGGAAGGAATGTTTTGTGATGCCACTCAGCACATGCCAAGGTAGCTTGCTTTCAGGTAGATTACCCTTGGGATGGTCATGGGGTAACATGGGCTTGAATAACAGTTGATCAAGAACCTATGGACAGATGTAAATTATCAATATACTAGTTAAATGTGAATGAAGTTGTAGTTTTTAATTATAAATTCCGATCACATGAGAATTTCAAATTCTGTTTCAGCAACAGCATTAAAGTAATAACTTAGGGATAAATCTGTGACATAATATATGAAAGTTGTTCATTCATTGTTCATAGAAAATATAAATACAGCAACTTCTCATGAAATGAGAATCCAACATGAGCAAAAATATTATTCAATTAAAAACAAACCAAATAAAGCCATGTCAATCACTAAGACTTAGAATCAAATAAATTGTATGCATGATATGTTCACATGAAAGAAAATAATCATCACAATTCCACATATATATTATATATCATGTGCTTTCCATTTTCAATAAAGATTAGAACATACCTCTACTACTCTCTCTTGAACTTTCATCTCTGGATCAAGAATAAGCGGTAAGACCCCTTTTATCCACCTTGACATCACACCACTGTGTTCTGGGTAACACAATACAAGTGTCGTCAATGAGGTGACCATCTGCTTACGGATGATCAGTGCTGGGTCCCTACAGTGCTCTACTAGGACCTGTGGGAAAGTTGTAGATTGTAGTGAAAGCTTTCAATAATGTAAATATTTTAAGTAAGTCTGTGGGCTAATATGCCAGACAAGACTATTAGTCTAATGATTTTCAGATGGGAACAAACTGGCAACCCACCCAGACTCTGGGATACTGTGATTTGCAGTCACTTTTTTATTCTAACCAGCTGACACTTCATATTTATTTGGACCACATCATGATTGCTTTATTGAAAAACTTGTGGAAGGAATGTTTTGTGATGCCACTCAGCACATGCCAAGGTAGCTTGCTTTCAGGCAGATTACCCTTGGGATGGTCATGGGGTAACATGGGCTTGAATAACAGTTGATCAAGAACCTATGGACAGATGTAAATTATCAATACACTGGTTAAATGTGAATGAAGTTGTAGTTTTTAACTATAAATTCCAATCACATGAGAATTTCAAATTCTGTTTCAGCTACAGCATTAAAGTAATAACTTAGGGATAAATCTGTGACATAATATATGAAGGTTGTTCATTCATTGTTTATAGAAAATATAAATACAGCAACTTCTCATGAAATGAAGGGACTAATTCTTGTGACAAACCAAACTTGCTTTCATCCATAAAATCCAACATGAGCTAAAATATTATTCAATAAAAAACAAACCAAATAAAGCCATGTCAAATCACTAAGACTTGGAATCAAATAAATTGTATGCATGATATGTTCACATGAAAGAAAATAATCATCACAATTCCACATACATATTACATAATATCATGTGCTTTCCATTTTCAAAGAAGATTAGAACATACCTCTACTACTCTCTCTTGAACTTTCATCTCTGGATCAAGAATAAGCGGTAAGACCCCTTTTATCCACCTTGACATCACACCACTGTGTTCTGGGTAACACAATACAAGTGTCGTCAATGAGGTGACCATCTGCTTACGGATGATCAGTGCTGGGTCCCTACAGTGCTCTACTAGGACCTGTGGGAAAGTTGTAGATTGTAGTGAAAGCTTTCAATAATGTAAATATTTTAAGTAAGTCTGTGGGCTAATATGCCAGACAAGACTATTAGTCTAATGATTTTCAGATAGGAACAAACTGGCAACCCACCCAGACTCTGGGATACTGTGATTTGCAGTCACTTTTTTTATTCTAACCAGCTGACACTTCATATTTATGTTTACATATTGTGTATCTTACACAACATCTTTTTATCTCAAAACAGACTTGAGAATTTGGAGCACTCCAGCGTCCAGAGCAAGTTGCCAGTTCTTCCTTTTTTGAGATAGGAGAGTATAACTTTTGGTGCAAGAATATTTATAATATAAAAGTGTAAGACTTTCCCTAATCACTATCCTATAGATTACAAATTGTAACTTTTCCCCCCCTACATTAAGGACACTTAAATTTTGAGGGTTGCACAATAAATCTTCTAATGTAAGCTAATGGATTCTTACATTTTAACATGACCATATTTTTTTTCTTTTCTTCTATTTCTTTTTTGGGTGTGATACATTGCAGCCAAAAATGGCTAATGTTAAAAAAATGTTTCATTTTGTGTTCTAATGCACTATATCAACTTTATCAATTGTCATTTCACATGAAAATCTAGTAGCACTCTTAGATCTAATCACAATCTACATTATGAAATTCAGAAACATTATATTTATTTTCTGGCATATAATGGGCATTGGGTATAATTTGCTTTGTGTTCTCCCCTGAGCTTGCCTGAATATAATACACATGTCCTTTTGTATGATTAATGAAAACTATTGATTTATGAAAAGGAATTTTAGTTTTCTTTTAAATGTTCTTACAAGGAGATGGTGAAAAAAGTAAACATACATAACCTCTGTTATCCCCTAAAGTCAAAGAACAACTGCCTGCTTTATTTTTTTTCTATCTCTTTTAAATCCAATCCAAACTGAGTTGATCAAGCATAGCCTTTCCAGAACTGGCAGGCAGTTATCTTGCAACTGGATTACTGTTAATGGGATATAGGGTGTGTGAGGAAGTAGCCCTGGCATTGTGTAGGTACTATCTTCCAGCTACACCGCTTTATATCCACCCTCCTATTCCCCTATCCCAGGGGTTGGCAACCTGTGATTGAACCTTGTGTGAGACTGACAGAGGCACCAATAGGAGGTAATCAACAGGTAATAAGGGTAGAAATATGTGTCAGAAATAAGAGAAGAACCTGGGGACTTTATTTTTCCACTTTCTCTTACTTTTTCATTGCCTGTTGAGCAATTTCTCTTATATTTATTTATCTTGTCTTAAAACCCATAGGATCGCCCAGAGTTGCTGGTTAGAGTTGGGGACTTATGGTAGTTTTATTAAAACATGGTGTGGGCCCCTCAATTCAGTCCCAAGGGACACAAGCCCCTTCCCTGGTGACTTCTGCAGGGACTGGATGGTACAACTAATGCATCCTGCCCACCACAGTTGGAATGCCTATTGCTGGCTTAACCCATTCGCGACGGGTGTCACGTATCCGTGACATGCCCACTGTGAGTTTACTTGTTTAATTGTTTTTACACATGGCTACACTTGTACTTGTACTCCCTGTCTCGCCTGTTTACCCTTTTCTTTAATTTACAAAAATATTTTGTTATCTTATTTTGCTGTTACTAATGTTTATAACATTATAGTAATTATAAAGTTTATAATAAAAATAACCATCGATAATCATGGTACTAGTGAGAAATACATTTTCCCGCCAATTCAAGTAAATGTGAAATCAGGTAAGGCAGAGCCATTTATGTGTAGAGACATTTCACAAAAAATATAAAAAATGAGCACAGCATTTTTCCCAATTTTTGTTCATTTTTACCAGTCGCAAATGGGTTAATTATGATTTATAGCCAAATTCATGGTAATTTTTTTTTGGAAAGATAGTGTCAAATCTAACTATCAGAATGTCATCATTTATAACTGTCATAATCACAATTGCTCTCCAAACCTTTGAACGTATGGGAAAGATAAGGGTTACCAACATGAGCAAACACTATATTTCATTATCAATAAATCAGCCAGGATAGCATATTACTTGTTTTCCGCCTCATGACAACTCTCCTGCCTCAATATATTAATTCATCTAACCTTAATCTAATTGAATGATGCTGATTTTATTCTTCATAAAGATTGGATAGATGCTGAAATTCCACCAGTAGTTGATAACAAACTTAAAATTTCCCTAAAAGGCACACATACAAATATATATATATATATATATATATATATATATATATATATATATATATATATATATATATATATATATATATATACACATATATATATATATAAAATATGTGTATTTATATACATATACCTACATATATGAAGACATGTGCATCCAATTACTCAAATTGTGTTTATTAACTTAAATGTTTTGTTAATTGTCTTTTGGTAATTATTGTAATTTCTGAAATCTGTAATACCACATTGTAAAAATTATAGGGAAGCTTTCAGGTGGTACAGACCTCCCAAAACAGTCCAACATTAGTCTTTAAAAACTAGCTATCTATATATATATATATATATATATATATATATATATATATATATATATATATATATATATATATATATATATATATGTATATATAAAATTTTACACCATGCAGCAAAATAAGAGCCATATACTATATCTTAAATGGCATTCAAAAATATTTTAGATATAATGCTCTCATTCAAATGAATATATTCTAACCTATCATTTTGTGGGGCTTGATGCTGGGTGCTCCTACCTGTTCTAATACTTTGAGGGGCCCTGTGCAGGACTAATCTGGGGCTTAAAACCACCTCACAGTTTGTTTAACAGCAAGGGCATTTTATAGTAGTTAGTTTAAGACCAAATGATGCAGAAATGCAAAATTACTTTAACACCTATAGGTTGATTTTCAAATGATATGCTTAAATTTTACTTTTCATAAAAAAAAAAAATAAAAAAATAAATATGCTGCATGAATGATTAGACAGTAGTCCAAATCAAGTGAGCTTAATGTGAATTCCATGTCCTAGTGGTTCATTCTGATGTATGAGAGTTATTTCAGTAATTTGTTAGAAAATTGTGATTTTGGGAGTTTTTCTCCCTGAAACTTGCAAACCTGCAAATGTCCTTTTAAATCTAATTATCTTTTCTGAAGACTTCATTAAAGACTAAATAATGTGTAAAAAAAAAAAAAAAAAAAGAAATTTAATAATAATAAAATAATTACAATTGGCATAACTTACAAATATACCAAGAATAAATGGCTGCTGTCCTTAAGAAATACATTACTAATATATTCACATAGCATACCGGCAAGCAAAGAACTACAACACATACCTCAAGATTTTTATCCGTAAGCATCTCATTGTCAATTCTCATCAAGTTTTCTAAAACCTGCAGAGCTGACTTCCGTACAGTAACCTTGTCATCCAGTGCCCGACGATGCAGCATGGAAACAACCAAAGAAGCATTTGGTAAATCAAGATCCTCATCTTCTAGCTCAAGTGGAGATTCCATATTGATGTTGTTGTTGTCAATGTGTGGAGTTGTAAAGACTGTCGGCCGAGAGCGGAAAAATATTTGCTTCATGGCAAGCATAATGGTTGGGTTGGTAGAAAATGTGCATTCTGCCAATAAAGCCAATGCCTTTGAACGGACTGTGGCTCCACTATCACGGCACCTTGAGAATATAATGCTCAATAAGAACTTATGGGAGAGAATATTTCGATCCGGGGGAACATTTACTGAATGATCTACTCTGACATTCTCAAAACTGCTACTGCTGTTGTCATCTTCAGTCTCTTCCTCTTCCTCTTGACCCTCTCTTATTGTTCTGAGCGGAGGTTGTACTTCTTGAGTATTGTTCTGCAGTTGGGAATTATCTGAACCCTCAGCTTGGCGTTCCTCCTCACCTAGCATCTTTGAGATAACCTCAAGCAAGAAAAGCCTGTGACCTGCCTTTTCATTATGGGAGAACTTGAAGAACCATTTCATGAGCTTTGTGTACAACTGGATGGGAAGGTAGCGCAAGATTTCCACCACAGACTGAGCAGTTTTTTGCCTAAATTCTGCCTTGTCTGGTACCTGAATGCACAAGTGCTGGATAAGGATATATACACCTTCATGTGCTTCCTCTTTCACCTGCGTCAATATGTACTTGACAAAAATGAGGGAATGATCTCGAATAACCCCTAAAGATCGAGCTGACAGGTCTGAGGACCCTCGACTGATCATAAGAATATTGTACATTATGTGTTTCATTATCATAATAACAATTTTGTTTACCTTACCATGGATGGGGTTGCATATGGACTGCAGTGCCACATAGGCATTGTAAGCTAATGCCGTGACAGTTGCTGGGCCATGTCTGCCAACAAAGATCCCTTGTGCATTATGGGTCTCCGACCGAGATACATCAACAAGAATACTAATGGTTTCATCCATTGATTCCGGTGAATGTTTCAATGAGAACCTTTGGGAGAGCCTCAAGAAATCATTAAGAAGAATATTCAGAGATCGAATGAGTTTGTTTGCCTCACTAGGAGAAAGCATTGTTATTTCAGCATCGTCATCATCCTCCATCTCTGCCATGAGTTCCTCATGCGACTTCCTCTGACCACCTCTAACACCACCTTGACGCCCCTTTTTTGGGCTCACGGCTCCCACACGCAATTTGGTCGTCAGACGCAGGATGTCTAGAGCCTTGAGGTACATGACAGGGTGGAACACACGGAAGGCATTACTTCCAGGCACAGAGAGGAGGAGGAAATACAGGCTGGCCGCCTGAATGCCCAGCTCGCGGTCCTCCTCCTTGGCATCGTACCTTTGACCCCGGAAGATGTAAAAAAAGAGAAGTGACATCAGCCCCTTCAAATTCACATTTTCGGACAAATCGATCCAAAATCTGGTGTGTGCTTCGACCTCACCTCTCTCCTCCTCCGTAGACCTATTAAGGTTGGACGACGAAGCTCTCCTGTCGCTGTCGTCGTTGAGGGCTGGCATTGTGTCAATCCACTGCCTACAGGACCCGATCACCGCGCCGAACAACCCACTGAAATTGGTGCTGCAGTGGAGATCCTCGAACTCCGGCGGCAAATCCTCCACCTCTGTGAAATCCGCGTCTATCACATTCCTTATCCATGCTGAATCGAGCTTGTCAATGGAGAATTTGAGGAGAAGATCCAGAAGTTGCTGCGCCGCCCGCCCATCCGCCGCCATCTCTGCCATTTTGAATTTGTTGTGGTTTGAAATCTCTACATGGACTGACTTTTGTTAAGAGCGTTAATTCCAGTATTTATACTCCTTTTTGAATGTGAAAAAATAAAAGGAGGAACATATTTTAAATCTGATGTTAATTTCAATGTATTCGGGTTTAATATATTCATAAGATAAATACATGGATTTTTTTTTCTTCTGTTGGTGCTTGATACGATTTTTTTAGCTTTTTATTTAATAATAAAAAATAATACCATTCTAGTCTTCGTAGTTTTGCAATTACATAAAACAATACATAACTACTTAAAATGTTATTTCCCGGCGTTAATTCCCGAATGTGTTTGTTTCCCCCTTCATGCTAAATATTCTTTATACGTTACGTTAACTTCCGATAATATAGGTCCCTTTACAATTTTGGAAAAAAGAAAAGATAACACAAATATGTTTCTCTATTTAAAGTAAACCGCTTTGCTACGGTTTAAATCGTTAAACCATTTGAATCTATAACTTCAAGTTGCTTTATGTCAAGGTCCATAATTATATATACCCAACAATTCCTTAAAGAAGACAATTATTATGTATTCTACTTCGATCTGATTTCTTATAACCTTCATTCGAAAACACTGCTGGGATTTAATAGTTTTATATAAGCTGTGGAGGGTACTTGGTTCCTACTAAGGTAGACATTATTCTCTCTCCATGGTCATTCACACATTGCTTTATTTCTATCTAACTTATATAAGTAACCAATAACTTTATGAAGTTTTCGGCAGACTAACCACCTGTGAGTGACAGTCAGTGTTGCCAGATTAAGGAAAAAATGTCCTTCTCAAAGTAGCGCTACTTTTAGCATGTTTTGCTATGTGATACAATGCCAGCAGATAATGATCACCCTATGACTTTTTCTCTCTTTCTCTTTTTTTTTCCTTTAGGAGGATAGGGGAAATGCACATTGAATTTGTATTTTTTTTAAGTGATGTCAATAAGTACACCATTTTCCAAAATTTGAGATACATGGTAGTGAATTGAAGCATAAAGAATTAATTCACAGTGCTTGTTTTCCGTAATTAAAACCACACACAAAAGCATGCGGTATCGCTAGTCTTTCATAAATTACTAAAGGGCATTCTCTAAAGTGCATGAAGAGCCTGCAGAAGAGTGTGCCGTCGTCGCGAAGTGAAAATGTTAGATGTCAAGAGCAAGATCCATAATTCAGGGAGTAAAGGGAAGCTTTTGGAATGTGAACTTCTGAACTTCTTGTGCAAAACGTTTCCTTGCAATCTCAGGTATATTTACCGATAATGGTAGAACATTTCGGAATTAAGTATCATTGCTTTTTTTTTCATTTTTTTGAAGAAGAACGGTATATTTACCGATAATGGTAGAAAATTTCGGAATTAAGTATCATTGCTTTTTTCCTTTTTTGAAGAAGAAGAACGGCAAATATAAAAAAAAAACGCAGAAAATACGCAGACAGATATTATAGATATAAATTAATAAGTGAGTGTATATATACATATATACATATACACACACATACACATATATATGTATGTATACAAGTGTGTGTGTGTGTATGTGTGTGTGTGTGAATGTGTATGTGTGTGCATCTGAGAAAGAGAGAGAGAGTTAGAGAGGGTTAGGTACATTTATATCATATGATACGTAACAGCTATTATCATAACCATTTTCTCGAACACATATCCGCGTAACTGAACATTCTCTTAAAGTACAATCCCTGGCGAGTTCTCGAACTTTCCGCACGGAAACAAAGGACAGCCCAGAAGCTTGCTCTCTCTCTCTCTCTTTCTCTCTTTCTCTCTCTCTCTCTCTCTTTCTCTCTCTCTCTCTCTCTCTCTCTCTCTCTCTCTCTCTCTCTCTCTCTCTCTCTCTCTCTCTCTCTCTCTCTATCTATCTATCTATCTATCTATCTATTTATCTCTCTCTCTCTCTCTCTCTCTCTTGCTATCTATCTATCTACTATCTATCTATATGTCTCTATTCCCCTTTATATTTCCTTTTATCGTATATTTCTTTCGTTCCCGGGATATGATTTATTTACCTTTCCACTATCAACGTGTACTGGACATTACTCGAACAGTAATTGCAGCAGTGCAGCATCATCAATATTGATGTCACTATTATTATTAGTAGTAGTATTATCATCATTACCATTATTATCATCATCATCGCTGTTATTACTATTATCCTCATTAACATTATATCATTATTATAATTTTCAATGGTTATCATTATTACTATTATTATTATTACTATCATTATTATTATTATTACTATTATTATTATCATCATTATTATTATTATTATTATTATCATTATTATTATTATTATTACTATTATTTTTACTAATAATATTGTTATTACTATCATCTCTATTATCATCATCATTATTATAACTATTACCATTATTGTTATTACTGCTCAGTTCTATCATCATCATTATCATATTATCATCACTATTTTCCTAGTTATTATTATTATCATCATTATTATTATTATTATCATTATTGTTATTATTACCATCATCATCATCATCATCATCATCATCATCATTATTATTACTGTTGCTGTTATTGTTACTATTATCATCATCATCATCATTAATGTTATTATTACCATCATCATCATCATCATCATCATCATTACTGTAGCTGTTATTGTTACTATTATCATCATTATTATCATTATACTATTATCATTATCATCATCAATATCATTACTGTTATGATCATTATTATTATTACCAACATCATTGGCATATACATTATAATCACTATAATTATATATAATTACTATGGTGTTAGTACTATCATTATTATTATCATATATATCATTATCCTTATTGTTGCTGTTATTTTTTATCTCATTATTATCATTACATTCTTCGCCATCATCATCATTAATATCATTATTGTTTGATTATCATTATCATTATTAGTATGATTATTATTTTCATTAGTATTATTATCAATAGCATTATTGTTGTTATTATCATCATCATTGTTGTTATCATTATTATTATCGTATCGCATTACCATTGTTATGTACCCTTTTATACTCTTACCATTACCATAATTATTATAATAATGCCATTAATAGTGTAGTAGAAATAATAGACTTAGCATAATGATGTTAACAATAATAATGATGAACAATTATGATATTGAACATGCTACCATCATTAGTGTTATCATAGCTACCTTTATCATTAATGTCCTTTTGTTTTATTACTATGATTACATGTATTGTTTTTGTCATACATCTAACATCATGCCTCTCATTGCACTGTTATCATACCATTATTGCAATTGCAGCAGTGTCATATCCATCTTACCATGCGCAGTCTGATGAACCCAGGCAAGGTTTACTGCATGTATTGATGTATGTCTATGCGATTGGATGTAAATATATATCTTAATAATGATTCAACGAAAAGGTGTATTGGAAGTAATAGCATAGGATACATTTATATATCAGTCATTCCTCGAAACATTAACTGTATATTCAAAAGGTTTACCCCTGCGGTTTGGTAACAGTTATTTACCCCCCAAAAAATACCGGTAATAACAGTTTCTATGACCACAAAATTTACACAAAGTAGTGATATCAAAATACAGAACACAATGATAATGAATGTACATTTAATATATTTACATTTCCAGTGTAAAAATGTATGGAAACCTCGAAATAATGGGTAATTAGCAACTCTCCGGTGCAAACCCGCTCGAAAGTAGCGGAATAGAAGTTACCGACGACTGGCAACACTGGAGCGAGGAGAGCAGTGTTGCTTCAACCATTGGCGAGAGCGGGTGTATGCGGCATTATTTCCCGCTGACACCCTGAAAAGTGTGTTACATCAGTTGTTTTATATTGAGTTGTGTAATAGTGTTGGTAATCGTGTCACCCGTCCGCTACGTCGGCTGAAGGATTGACACATTACGGCTGTTGGGTGCGCGTGATGTAGCTGTCCCCTGACTGCCTAGTGTGAATAGCAGGGTGTCTGTCTAAGGAAGAACATCTCGACCAAGATTTCCCATCACCTTATTCATCACCATCAGCAGCTGGTCACTCATCTCATTTTTCACTCGTAGGGAAGAGCGACAAAGGGGAGGGTGCAAACGTAGGATTTTTTATATTCCAAACTCGAAACATGTGACACCGATGTTAAACTTTTAGAGGAAGATCAAAAGTTGTAACACGGTCCGCAGGTCAAATAAAGGAAGGCTCGTTTATAACAGCGAGGCAGGAACAGAGATTTAAACCAAACATACGTTATAACAAAAGTCAAAGCAGATAGAGGCAGATTTAAGGGAAAAGTTGAGGCAGGTCACGAGAGCTTCCATGACTGGCCTGTTCTTCCTCCTCATCCTCCTCCGCCTCCTGTAGGTGAACTCGAGTGAAATCTCGAAGTTGAATGTGTTAGCTACGGCCGGCGCAGTGTGGTAATATGACAAGACAGGTGGCCTTGCGCAAGTATTTCGCATACTCGTTCGCAAGAAGGCCAACTAACAGGTAGAGAGGAATAGCCATTGCCTCCAGAAGCATGGCAGCTCAGGAAAGACTAGAAAACATATATGTTAATTATTATGCATATGAAAGAAGTTAGTAAAACTAGCGCATGGATAATCTGGGCTGCAGCCTGACTCTCTCTAGGCACTTAATGACGTCAGCAAGTTCTGATAGGCAGGCACACCGTCATTTGAGCTAGCCATAAACGTGTGCTGTAGGCCTGTATTGAATCATTAGAATTACTGTTTCCTCGTACACTGTTGTCGAATGATGTGAAGTAAAACGCATCGTTTGTCAATTCTAAAAGCAGCATTGCTAAATCACTCAGTTGCTAACCGTTACAGTAGCAACAGTTATATTGCTGGACGCATAGCGGTCAGTTTGAGTTTGAGATCAAGCTTAAAGTTACTGAGGTATTGATATTAAGAGAACTTTCATCAAATACTTGTTCAACATATATGTATGCATTTAATTGTTAGCTGAGGTTATTGTCCTTGCATACATTCAGTCAGTTTGTTTTTAGGTATAAATTCAGAAAGGTAGGTTAAATTAGTTTTTACTTGTTAGAATACCAGAGAGTAAAGGTGAGATAGTCTGATGTAATGAGTTAGGAGTGGGGTGCTGCTGCAGCTAGACTAGAGTGACCAGCTGGTGATAATCCCCTAGGTGAGTGTAGCGTGGTGAGACTGGACATGTCACACTGGTGATTCACACTGGTGTCTCCGTGTCACGATGTCCCGGTGCTGAGAGTGCCAGGGCCACCGGCAGTGCGTGGCCCCTTGCTTTATCTCAAGCGTGAGTGAGTGTGCGTGAGAGTAAAATCAGACTGTAACTCTGCACCACCACACTATCGCCATCATGGGGCCGGAACACCTAGGATCTGCCTCCTTCCTTCATATGGGGGACATCGTTTCCCTGTATGCTGAGGGCAGCGTGTCGGGATTTATCAGCACACTCGGGTAAGTACATTAGCCTATATACGTGTGTGTGTGTGTGTGTATATATATATATATATATATATATATATATATATATATATATATATATATATATATATATATATATATACACACACACACACACATACGTTTTTCTATTAATGCCACTGATGACAGACTTAACAGGCATTCAGCCTGTGTTGAGATATATACTACGTCGCCAAATGGTTGCTAACAGGACATGTGTCCGTAAGGATGTGCCCTATTTAGTTTTTACCTTTTGTGTAGGCCTACCCGATGTATTGTCTGCCAGTATATTGCATGAGTGGTGCGCGTATGCCCCATGTACTTATGAATATGGAAGTTCGAACCTAATCCGCTTTATGCGTTGCCTGTCTTAGGTTTGGACTAAAGAGTAATGTGTTCTCATCCTTAGATGACTCAGAAAAAAAGGTGAGAGAGTGCTATGAGATATGTTATGCCAGGGGGAAAAGGATGGAAATCTTTGAAAAATATGGACAAGGTTCGATGTTATGCACAAGAGTACGGTACATTCCCAGTTGAAAGAATTAAAATATGTATCACTTTCAGCGGTAGGTAAGAGCATGGGAAAGATTTTGATTGCGAGTGACACTTTAGTGCACAGGCCTTCGGAAATATCAAATATGTTGGTATTTTTAATGGCACTTTAAGAATGCAAAAAACGATTAATTTACGAAGTCGATAGTCTCGTCATATAAAATAAAATGTTAATCATCGGTGTTTCGATAGAATTCCGAAAATGAATATATTTTCATGTTTTGTTTCAAGGATAATTTTAAGGATTCATGAATTTTAAATTCCTATATAGATATGTTAATTTCAGATTTTTCTTTGCTTGAACTGAATTTCATGTTGTATTGAGTCTAGCTCGCTGATTTACAAAAAGAAATTTGATTCCCGATGACGTTGTGATTAATGTTAGGGACGTTATCTTGCAGCAAGAGCGATGATGATTAGTGATTCATTACGATAATTAATCGAATTGCATTGTTGGAATGCACCCCATTTTTTCGCTGGTCACCCCGTAGGTATTGAACTCGTCTACTTTCCTCCTAGTTACGTCACTAAGTTATTTTTGAGTGGTAACCCGGTGAACTTACAAGGATACGGCTGTACCAAGGAGGCGGTTGGTCGCTGCTCGGGGGAATGTCATCCTTCGTTGCTTTAAAGCAATGCAAGTGATGTGGGCACACATGCTCGCACTCATTAATTATGCGCGCGCACGTATATGCAGACACATGCTAACAGACACGCCCCATTAAGTAATTATTTTCCTCGCTCATGCGTTTCCACCCATGCGCACGCACACTTGCAAGCAAACGTGCACGCACTTGCGCACTTACCCGAACTTTCACTCACGCACTAGGTGATTTTTTAAAGTTCAGGTGTGAGATGGTTAATGGATGATCATAGTAACTGCTGTTCGTTGGTGAAAAAAATAATAAGTTAAGAGAATTTATAGCTAAACCAAGATCGCACGTTTATTGATTATATTTCGTTAATATCCTGTGTTTCAAGAGGTATCTGAAAACCCACTGTTTTCAATGGGTGATTTTAGAGGCGTTTTAAATTTGACCCTAAAAAATCATGGTAAACATAATAAGGATAATTTTAGGCTTTATGAACAGAAACCGAGGGAAATAGGCTAGTTTTTACTCGTTTATTCCATAGACGTAAAATGCAAAAATGATACGTCTTATGGGAATCCATTATCCCCTTCAAAAGCAAATGTAATAACTCCGCTGTGGTGCGCCAGGTGGAACTGCTGAAGAATGCAAGATTAGGACGTAAAAATAGACTACCAGTATGTAAATCAGGTTGCAGAAAATTGGTCTCCACAATGGATCCACAACAGGAACCTTCGCGCAGCTTTCATTTGCAGATTTCAGAAGCTGGGACGCTCATTTGCATAATTCTGAAAGTCGTCTGTAGTATATAGTTAGTGTTTTTCTATCCTTGCCATTTTCTTTTATTTTCTTACTACGTTATTGGTTTTATATTTACCTTCGATTCATATTTTCAGCAGAGGTAAAAAGAACAAAAGATAATCGCAATAGGCCTATGATCCAAGTCATGAATGAAGGATGCGCATTTCTCAAGAATCGGTTAAACAAGAAATATTTATCTTACTTAAACTGAGTAGTATGGCTGATTCGAATATGTATGTATGCATTTATATAAGTGTGTGTATATATATATATATATATATATATATATATATATATATATATATATATATATACATGCATACTTGCATGTATACTACATGCATGCATATATACATACGTTCATACATACATACACATATACATGCATACATACATGTATACATGCATGCATAATACATGTATACGTGCATACATAAATACATGTATACATGCATGTATATAGACATACACGTACACACACACACACACATACACACACACACACACACACACACACACACACACACACACACACACACACACACACACACACACACACATACACACACACACATACACACATTCACACACACACGCATTCACACACACACGCATTCACACACACACGCATTCACACACACACACGCATTCACACACACACACATTCACACACACACACACATTCACACACACACACACATTCACACACAGACACATTCACACACACACACATTCACACACACACACACATTCACACACACACCTGTCATCCCTTGTCACGCACGCACGCACAAATGACTATAAGGGAATTTAACCGTGTATAATATTCGAATTCTGAACACGTCAAGATAGTTCTAAATTTATATATTAATTGCAGATGAGACAGACTCATTAACTACGAAGTAAAGAGGCCTGAATGAACGAACCCACAAAAGGCGCATAGACCTATCCGTGTTGTGTCGAGATTCTGTATGAGGGGTTCATATTCTCGACTTCTAATATTGGCGTTTCGGCGTTTCAAGAGCTCTTGCTTTTTGATATCCGATGACATTTTGGAAATAACCAAAACAAAAAAAAAGACAAAAAAAGGAAAACAAGAAGCGTTGATCCACTCATGAACTAGAACATGTTCTGGTGGCTAAATATGGCAAGACTCAAAGGGGTGTTCTCCAGCCTCTTAGTTTTGTGTTTTTGTAATTTGTGATACAATCTAGGTTCTCATTAGAAACGAATGAGAAGGAACAAACAGAAAGAGGATGTTCTCTTTCACCATTTTTGAAGGCGCACTTGATCTTGTGATGAAGGCCCCCTCTCCAAATAAGATAAGATAGGTAAACTTATAAATATTTATCTATATATACATGTATATCTATACATATCCACACACGCACACACTGACACTGACACTGACACTGACACTTACACTTACACACACTTAAACTTACACACACTTAAACTTACTCGTACACGCACACACACACTTACACTTATACTTACACTTACACTTACACTTACACTTACACACACACGCGCACACATGCACGCACATACACGCACATACACACGCACATACACACGCACATACACACGCACACACACACACACGCACACACACACACGCGCGCACACACACACACGCACACACACACACGCACACACACACACACACACGCACACACACACACACACACGCACACACACACGCACACACACACACACACGCACACACACACACACGCACACACACACACGCACACACACACACGCACACACACACACACACACACACACACACACACACACACACACACACACACACACACACACACACACACACACACACACCGGTCATCCATTGTTATATTGCAGTTTGCCGCCAGCAAAGAAGCTCATTTGGATGATATTTCATTGAAACCGAAATCAATCGAATATGGGAATCATACCGACACCGAGGTTATGTACTTGTCAGTATGGCAGAACCGCCAAACCCAAGTCGACAAAGCGAACGTGCTTACGGGGCTGTCCTGCCAAGGCATTGGCATCCTGCATCAGAGTTTGGAAATGCACTGGGGATTCTGCAGAGTGCGGGCGGATTCGATAGAGATAGATAGGTAGATATACATGGAGATAGGGAAAAAAAACATGTTTTGTCGTCTTTCACTGTTTTATGGTTCATATATGCTGTGCATTTTCCTCATTAAATAATACTGCATGCCTTATGTTCACGTTTTTTTAAAGAAGTTAGGATATGGGATTCAGGGACTTGAGTACAGGTGTCAGCATTCTAAAATATGCTAATGGAAATTTTATGTTTATTGCTTTGTTTTTTTCTTATGCCTCTTATTCAAGTTCACGTTGTTTCTGTTGCATGTGTTTAGCTGAGGAATATCTATTTATTTAAGATTCATGTTTAGTGGTGCTATTTTTGCATTTGCTTATGTAATAAAGGTACTAAGATGCATGTAAGATGCGTATGTTTATATTTTTTTAGTCTGCGAGAGGTCGGCGATAACGAACAAGCATTTTCGTGGAGATAAGATAGCTTATTACGGACGGACGAGCGGACAGACAAACACAGACACAGGCAGACACAACTCGGCCGAACGGACAGACAGACAGACACAGCCAAAACCAAAACCGAATGGACAGACAGACACAACCAAAACCGAACAGACAGACTCGAATGCCCTCACTATTACTCTTAGTTTACAGCCTTGGGCTATTGTTGGCAACACGAAAGAACGGAGAAAAGCAAAGTCGGCTTAAGGACTTCACAGACCACGCAAATGCCGCGGGTGAAGTTCTTGATCCGAGGTCCGCCCGGAGGATCAGATTCCTCTCCGAGATGAAGCAGATTCTGCGGGTAAATGAGGAGGCAGAGTGAGAGAGAGTAGCGAGGGGAAGGAGGGGGGAGAGGGAGAAAGAGAGGGAGAGGGAGGAGAAATTAGGATAGGGAAGGGAAGATAGGAAAGGAGATGGGAGTGAGAGAGAAATAGCATAGTAGAAGGAAAAGAGAAAGTGGGAGAGTAAAGAGAAAATGAAGGGGGGAGG